CATTTTCACAGAAGACAAAGGTATTTTCTTTATTAGAAAACAAAATCATGTTTTAATAGAACATGATTTCTATTCTCGTATCTGTGAGAACGAGATACGAGAACACACACCAGATACGAGAACCAGATACGAGAACACACACCAAAGAATTATAAGAAATTAGTCTCATAAAAGAAAAAAGCATAAGGGCAAAAAACAAGGCACACTACACCTCTAAGAACCTGCCATCAGACTGGAGATAAACAGGTAACCTCCCCCCTACTGCCCCACACCCCAGCACAGGTTATAGAAGCGAAGGTTTATAAAACACCCTGGAAGGTAAAGACAGCGCACCTACCTGTGTTCCTGGGTGCATGTTTTCCTTAGCAGGTAACAGTGTTTTCCTTCATTTTACTTAACTCAGAGAAATTCCTGATCTAAATCTACGTCATGCCTAGCACTATAGACAGGGAATATCATAAAGCAAGTTTCCATTTTCCTGCAAGCGGGTAATTGGAAGCATAAAATGTGTTTTTCCACTTTCTTAGTGTAAAATCCACATACAGAAGTTAGCTAGTGCTTGCCATTTAATTGTAACTTACCAACAAAACCTTTATACAGTAAATAATACTGGATTATTATAAGAGATGAATACCAGTGCTTGAATAAATGATCACTGCTTCCAAACATTTTCAAAACTTAACACATGGAATATGGGACTAGTGCAATATATTTTTAATTATTAAAGAACTGTTTTCTCTCCTCCCTGACTAAAGTCCCAGGATGTTTCCACTTTTATTTTTGATATTAATAAATGGTGCCTTCTCACTTTTTTCCTGGTCAATTTAATTAGAGGTTTATAAATTTTACTAGTCTTTTATTAAAGAACAGCTTTACATTTTTTTCTATGCTTTATTTATTTTTATTTCAAATTAATATGCAGGCACAAATTTTTAGATTACATTGTTCTCACTTCCAAGATAAAATTTGAGTTGTATGGCTTGGCGCCTGTGGCTCAAGTGACTAAGGCACCAGCCACATACACCTAAGGTGGCGGGTTCGAATCCAGCCTGGGCTTGCCAAACAACAACAGCTGCAACCAAAAAATAGCCAGGTGTTGTGGCGGGCACCTGTGATCCCAGCTACTTGGGAGGCTGAGGCAGGAGACTCACTTGAGCCCAGGAGTTGGAGGTTGCTGTGAGCTGTGATGCAACGGCACTCTACCCAGGGGACAGCCTGAGGCTCTGTCTCAAAAAAGAAAAAAAAAATCTTAGTTGTAGTTGAGCCCTTCACCCGGGTGGTGTGCTGAACACCCTCCAATTGTGCGCATTAGGTGAGATCCTGCCAGTCGCCCTGCCTGTATTATTTACTTTTTACTTTTTTGATTTCTGTTCTTCGTTCTTTCTTTCTTTCTGCTTAATGTGAGTTTAACTTGTTCTTCCCTTTTTCTGAAGGTGGAGTCTTAGGTTACTGATTTTGGACCTTTATTCTTTCTTTAATAAAAGTATTTCAAGTATACATTCTTTGCTAGGCACTACTTTCTACATTTGTAACTTTTGACATGCTGTGCTTTTATTTTCGTTCAGTTTAACATATTTTCTAATTCCCCACCTTTTCTTTGACCATGGATTATTTGGAATTTTGTTGTTTAATTCTCAGACACTTTCATTATTTCCTTGCGTGGTTCTGTTTTTGCCTTCTAATTTCATTCTGTGATGGCTAGAGAACGCATTCTGTATGGTTGAAATCCCTTTTAATTTGTTGAGATTTACTTTCTGGCCCAGCATATGGCCTATCTTGCTGAATGTTCCCTGTGCACTTGAGACGAAGGCTGTTCTCCTGTGTCTGCTCCCACATGTGCCTTAGGTTAACTTGGTAGACAATGTTCAAGTCTTCTTTATCTTCCCTAATTTTTGTTTACTTGTCCTATCAGTTGCTGAGAAAGGAGTATTAAAATCTCAAAATAAAAGTACAGATATGTCTATTTTCTCTTCCCTCAGTTTTTGGTTTATGAGGCCTGAAGCTCTTTTATTAGATGTATGTAAATTTAGAGTTATTACGACCTCTTTTTTTTTTGAGGCAGAGTCTCACTTTGATGCCCTTGGTAGAGTGCTGTGGTGTCACAGCTCACAGCAACCTCAAACTCTTGGGCTCAAGTGATTCTCTTGCCTCAGCCTCACAGGTAGCTGGGACTATACGCGCCCACCACAACGCATGGCTATTTTTTCTTTCTTTCTTTCTTTCTTTTTTTTTTTTTTTTTATAAGAGATGGGGTCTCACTCTTGCTCAGGCTGGTCTATAACTCTTGACCTCAAGCATTCCATCTACCTCAGCCTCCCAAAGTGCTAGGATTACAGGCATGAGCCACTGTGCTCAGCCTATGACTTCTTATTTAATTGACTACTTACTATTAATAAATATAGCTCTTTATCCCTGGTAATAGTTCTTGTTCTGAAGTCTACTTTGTTAGATACTAGTATAGCCACTTCAGTTTATTCTGATTAATGTTTGTCAAAAGATAGGCTAGATCTTTTCCACCCTCTTACGTTTAGCCTATCTGGTCTTTTAAAAATGTGTAATATCTGGGCTCAGTGTCTATAGCTCAGCAGCTAGGGCACCAGCCACATACACCCAGACTGGCAGGTTCAAATCCAGCCTGGGCCTGCCAAACCACAATGACAACTACAACCAAAAAATAGCCGGACACTATGGTGGATGCCTGTAGTCCCAGCTACTTGGGAGGCTGAGGCAAGAGAATCACTTAAGCCCAGGAGTTGGAGGTTACTGTGAGCTGTGATGCCACGGCACTCTACCAAGGATGACATAGTGAGACTCTTGTTTCCAAAAAAAAAGGGCATAATATCTGCCATTTAACCGGAGTGCTTTGACTATTTGCAATCAATTTAGTTATCAGGCTGGGTATGGTGGCTTATGCCTGTAATCCCAGCACTTTGGGAGGACAAAATGGAAAGAACACTTGAGGGCAGGAGTTCAAGACCAGCCTGGGCAGCATAGTGAGGGCCTGTCTCTAAAGGCAAAACAAAAAATATTAGCTGGGCATGGTGCCATGTATCTATAGTGCCAGTTACTCTGGGAGTAGGCAGGAGGATCTCTTGAGCCCAGAAGTTCAAGGCTGCAGTGAGCCATGATCATGCCATTGCACCCCAGCCTGGCCAACAGAGTGAGACTCCGTCTTTAAAAAAAATTCCCAGAAACTAACAAACAATAAAAACCAATTAAATGTAATTATCAATATGGTTGGTCTTAAATTTACCATCTTGCTATTTGTCTTCTATTTCTCTCATCTCTACTTTGTTTCTTTTTTTATTTAAAAAAAATTTTTTTTATTAAATCATAACTTTATACATTGATGCATTTATGGGGTTCAGGATACTGCTTCAATATACAATGTGAAATGTGTACATTGAACTAATTAACACATCCATCACAATTATACTCGTTTCTTAATAGTTTTGAAATGTACCATTGCATCATGCACATTAGGTGAGGTCCCCCCGAATACCTTCCCTCCTCCGATATCCTCTCTCCCCTCCCCTCTCTCTCCTCTTCCCTTCTACTTTCTGGACAATAGTTATGTTTTGCCATTCATATGAGTGTGTAGGTGGTTATATATTGATTTCATAGCAGTATTGAGTACATTGGATACTTTTTCCCCCCATTCTTGAGATACTTTACTAAAAAGAATATGTTCCAGTTCCATCCAGGTAAACATAAAAGATGTGAAGTCTCCATCTTTTTTATGGCTGCATAGTATTCCATGGTGTACATTCTACTTTGTTTCTTTTATCTTCTTTTCTAGTTTCTCTTTGGTTTCTTTTTTTATTCTCAGTTAATCTCCACTACTGGCTTGTCAGTAATAGTTTTTTTCTCTTCTTTTCTTTATTTAGTGGTTGTTCTAGGATTTACAACATACATTTTTCACTTACTGCCAGTTGCTTCCAAGTAATATTATTCTAGTTCATATTTCACATATTATGTAAGAACTTCACAACAGGCTACGTCCATCTTTTGTATCAGTGTTGCCATACATTTTATTTCTACAAATAAGCCAGTAACAAATTGTGGCTTTCTTGCTTGAAACATCAATTATGTTTTCAGGTTACAGACTCCATGCCATAACATAAAATTCACCCTCCCAACACTTTCTTTTCTTTTTGTAGAGATAGAGTCTCACTCTATCGCCCTTGGTAGAGTGCCGTGGCGTCCCAGCTCACAGCAACCTCCAAATCCTGGGCTTAGGAGATTCTCTTGCCTCAGCCTCCCAAGTAGCTGGGACTACAAGCGCCCACCACAATGCCTGGCTATATTTTTGTTGCAGTTTAGCTGGGGCTGGGTTTGAACCTGCCGCTCTTGGTATATGGGGCTGGTGCCCTATCCACTGAGCCACAGGCACCACCCAACACTTTCTAAGTCTAAAGTACAACATTGTCAACTTGATGCACGTTGTTGGGCAACAGATCCCCACAAGGTCCTCATCCTGCAGGACAGAACCTCTATAGCCACTGAGCATTAACACCCCCCTCCATCAATTATGTTTTAAAGACATTTTCAAAATGAAAACAAATGTTTTTATAGTCACTATTTCTGGCACTTTTTATTTCACTGTGTACATCCGTGTGTCCATCTAGGATGACTTTTCCTCTGCCTTTAGAATTTCCTTTAATCTCTTCAAGTACAAGCCTGATGACCACGAATGGTCTCAGTTTATTTTGGTCTGAAAAAAATTTTGATTTCTCATGATTTTCATAATAGCATTATTGTAGTGTAATTAACAGACCACGAAATTCACTCATTGGTTTTCATTTCTGAAGAATATTTTTTCTGCATACAGAATTCTAGGTTGGCGGTTTCTTGAGTTTTTGTTTTCCTTTTAGCCCTTTCAAAGTGTTATTCCCCGGTCTTCTGGGTTGCATAGCTGCTGACTGGATGTTGGCTTCTATTCTTGATTTTGTTTCCCTGTATATATTATGTATTTGGCCTTGGCTGCCTTTTATATTTTCCTTTTACGACTGGGTTTCATGAATTTATGTGTCATCCTTGCACAGGATCATCCCAATCTTCTCTATATCATTCCAAGTTTAGTATATGTGTGCCAAAGTAAGCACTCAAAATAGCTTTTTTTGGGTCCTCCTCCTATTTTTCTGTAACTCCAAAAATAGATATGTTCAACCACTTGAAGCTGTTCCATTGAGTCTCTATTTATTTTTCCCCAGTCTTTTTTTCTTTATTTTTGTTCTTTTTTTCTCTTCTTTTTGTTCTTCTTTCTCGTTAGTTTATGTTTTGTCTTCAACTTCACTAATATTTCTTTCCTCCAGTTTCAGATTTGTTATTGATCCCAACAAGTGCCTTTATCATGTTGTATTGTTCACACCTAGAAGTCCCATGTGGTTATTTTTAAATCCTCCATTTCTTCTCATTTATTTATATTCACATTTTTCTTCAAATTATCGAATATATCAAACACATCTATGATAGGCATTTTAAAGTCCTTGTTTCTTGATTCCATAATATTTCTCATTTTTGATCTTTATTCTCATTGACTAACTTTTCTTTTAATTATGGACCAGCGTTTGCTACCGCTTGACATCCCTGTTATTTTTGGATTGGATGTGGGGCATTGTGAAAGTTATGTTACTGAGTTTTAGTGTCGTCCTCCAGAAAGCTTTGGGCTTTGTCCTGTGATGCAGCTGGTACTTTAAGATCCCTTGGATCTTCTTGAGCCTTGTTTTTGTGTTTTATCAGGGCTGGTCTGAAATAGCCTCTCCTCGACAGACAATTTTTCCCTGCTGCTCATGCATGAGACTTCTCTTCTTTTCTGGATGTCCTGGCTACTCAGTGTAGACTCCACTCTGACTGGTGAGAGCTTGAATATCTCCTAACCTTGTATGAGCTCTGATCACTTTTCAGCTTACAGTTCCCTCCATGTTCTTTGCCCAGCTTGTGGTATTCACCCTTTCACATATGGGTTGGATTCCAGCATATACTCAAGGAGACCCCAAAGCCAGAGTTCTAGAGCTCTTTTTCTAGAGAGTTCCTATTATTTATAACTTTGCCCTAATACTTGCAACTACCTCAGGCTCCATGAATCCCAATTTCTGTTCTTCTTATGTAAATAAGACTTTTATACCCTGCTTGGGGTCAGCCACTTTGCATCATGGGTCCAGAATACATCTCCAAGCAGAAAGGTGGGAATTCATAGGGCTAACTATGTTTATTTCCCTTTTTTTGGGTCCATAGTCCTATACTATTTGTCTGATGTATCACAAATGTTGTTTCTTATGTTTAACATTTCCTAATCATTTTGGTGAAAGGGTAAGCCAGGGCCCTATTACTCTACTGTTGCCCAAAGAAGAAGTCAAGGCAGGTACTGCTTTATGAGTGTGTAAATGATTCAAGAATAGACAAATAGTCCACCTAACAGAATAGAGAAGAAATAGGCCCCCACATATACATTCATGGGATTTATAACTAAAGCGCTAATTCAATTCAGTGGGGGAAAGGCTTTTAAAGAAATGACAGAGCAAAAATAAGCCTTATTCTTACTTTTCATTATCCCTAAAAATTAATCAGAGATGGAGCACAGACCTATATGTAAAACGATAAGCTGAAAAAAAAATGGGAGAATATCTTCATAACCCTCAGGTGGGCAAAAATTTCTTAAATAGGACATAAGAAGAATTAATTATAAAAGAAAGACCAGTAATTTGAACTTCATTAAAATAAAAGACTTCTTTTAACAAATTACAAAATTAAGAGAGTGTAAAGGCAAACCACACACTGGGAGAGAATGTTTGCCATACATATTGTGAAAAAAAAAGAGCTCATAACTAGAATATATAATGAACCCTTTTAAAATAAATGATAAAAAAGGCAACCCAAGTTTCTAATATATAAAGGACTTGAGTAGGCAATTCACAAAGAAGTTATCCAAATGGCTAATAAGATTTATGGACGTGTTCAACCCTGTTAACTATCAAGCAAAGAAAAATTGCAACTACAGTGAGATACAATGTCATACCCATCCAATTTCAGAACAAAAAGGAAACTGATAATTCTAAGCATTGGTGAATAGACAGAGGAAGTACATGTCTCATATATTGCTTATGGGACTATGAATTTGCATATACATTTTAGAAAACTGTTTGGCAGCATCAACTAAGACTAAACAAACCAATAATGCCTCAGTGGGCAACGCAGCTCCTGAGTATACACCCCGAAGAAATGAATGTGTATGCCGCTAAAAGACATGCACATAGACTATTCATAGCAGTATTATTGTTATTATTTCAATACGTGAAAGTTCCAGTTGCTCCATGTACTCGTCAACACCAGCGATTTTTAGATTTCTTTCAGGCAGTCTCACTCTGTCTCCCTGGATAGAGTACTGAGGCATCATCGTAGTTCACAGCAACCTCAAACTCTTGGACTCAAGAGATCCCCCTGCCTCGACCTCCTGGGTAGCTGAGACAACAGGTACCCACCATGATGCCCAGCTAGTTTTTCCAATTTTTTTTTGAGACAAAGTCTTGCTTTGTCACCTTTCGTAGAGTGCTGTGGCATCAGCTCACTGCAACCTTAAACTTTTGATCTTAAGAGATCCTCCTGACTCAGCCTCCCAGGTAGTTGGTACTGCAGGTACCTGCCACAACACCTGGCTATTTTTAAAGACAAGGTCTCACTCTTGCTCAGGCTGGTTTCAAACTCCTGAGCTCAAGCAATCCACTTGCCTTGGTCTCCCAGAGTGCTAGGATTATAGGCATGAGCCACCATACTTGGCCTAGTTTTTCTATTTTTAATAGAGATGGAGTCTCACTCTTGCTCAGGCTGGTCTTGAATTTCTCATAGCAGCATTATTAATAAGAACCCCAGGGCGGTGCCTATAGCTCAGTGGGTAGGATGCTGGCCACATACACCAAGGCTGGCAGGTTCGAACCCAGCTTGGGCCAGCTAAAAAAAACAATGACAACTGCAACAAAAAATATCCGGATTTTGTGGTGGGTGCCTGTAGTCCCAGCTACTTGGGAGGCTGGGGCAAGAGAATCACTTAGGCCCAAGAGTTTGAGGTTGCTATGAGCTGTGATGCCATGGCACTCTACCAAGGGCAACATAGTGCCTCAAAAATAAATAAATAAATAAATAAAGAACCCCAAATTGGGAGCAAACCAGACATTAATCAACAGTTGAATGAATAAATAAATTCTGGTATTGTTGTATCTGGAATACTACACAGTAATGAAAAAGAATTAGCTACATGTAATAACTTGGATGGACCTCAAAACATAAAGTTGAGCAAAAGAAGCCACACAAAATATTATCGTTTCATGATTCTGTTTTTATATAAAGTCTAGGTAAAACTAACCTATGGTGATAGAGTTCAGAATAATGCTATTTCTCTTGAGGGATATTAGCTGGCATAGTATGTAAGGGAGGCTACATGGAGTATTGGAAAGCTCTATATCTTCATCTGCTGGCCATTACACACGTAACAATTAATGGATCTATACACTTAAGATTTGTGCACTTTACTGCCTAGGAGTATAGCCAAGTTTTTTTTTTTTAAGTCTTGTTTTCTTTTAATAAGCATAAAACTAATGACGTGCTAATTATTTTTGACTTTCATATTTTCTTCTTGTAGTGTACAATTTCTATAACAAAGTTAGTTGTTCAACATGATTCTTGTTCCTGTACAATCTAGTTAAATGGAGTAATATTCGCTTTTTGAAATTTTACATATACAGTCATTCCATGGTATCCATGGGTGATTGGTTCTGGGGCCTCTGTGAATATCGAAATCCTGATATAACCTATGCACATCTTTGTATACTCTAAATCCTCTCTAGATTATTTCTACTACTTAATGTAATGTAAATGCTAGGTAAATAATTGCTATGCTCTATTTTTTAGGGAACAATGACAAGAAAAAACAAGTCTATACATGTTCAGCATAGACATGACCATTCCCTTGGTTCTGAATATAGTTTCAGTCCGTGGTTGGCTGAATCCTTGGGCACAGAACCACGGACACAGAGGGCTGATTGTCATTTCCTCTCTCACTCTATTGCTCATTAAGTTATTAATTTCATTTTGAACTCCGCACGTCAGATTGTGATTGTTTAGTGTATCA